AACACCCCTCTCACCGCAGGAAGAAAGTCATTAAGACACAAATGCTTGACTTGCCTTGTTCTCACTGTGTGTGTGTGTGTGTGTGTGTGTGTGTGTGTGTGTGTGAGTTAGAGAGAAGAAAAAGAATGAAAGGCAGAATGGGCTGGAGGTAGAGTGTGGCACAAGATTTCAGTAATCTACTGTCACGCTGAAAAAAAATGTTGCTGTTGGTTATGAGACAATGCAATCAGTGTGGTTGTAAATGTGGGTAAACAGTTGAAATATAAACATGAAACTGATATATGTTCAAAAAACAATTTTGCATTACATGAGACCAAACTCAATAGCTCATTCTGTTCATTTTTAACAGAAATTTCATGAACTATGTTATAATAAGATTATAGAATCACAATGTGATTCTCCTTAAACTTCATACATGACAGTACTGAATTATAGGACAGGCCTACTCTGTTGAATGTTGAAAGTTTAATCAGTCAGGCGCCCTGGTAGCTCACCTGGCCTTACCTCAGGCCCTTTGCTGCATGTTATTCCCCCCCTCTCTCCCCTGCCTTTTCTGTCTTTTTCTACTGTGACTATCAAAAATGCAGAAGGAAAAATAGTATAATCAGTCTAGTGTGGTTATGGAGTCATTTGCTGTACAGATTGTAAAGCCCTTTGAGCCAAATTTGTAATTTGGGATTCTGCTTATCAATACACAGTAAAACGTGCAAAATATTTTACTTTATATAAATTATGGGCTATATTATGGGCAATTTTTTATACCAGACAACAGTTATTTTTGAACGTTTAAACAAATATTTGGATCAGATGACAATTAACTAACCTGATGAAATTCTAAATCACATTGAGAAATGAGACCTGAGATTTCCAGAGCAAGATACAGTAGCTCGCATCATTGGCTAGAAAAAGATTAATTATCAATCCTCACAAATTACTGACATCACTTTTGGTTTTGTTATCATTTTAGATGTATACATTGAAGAGCGATATAGCGTCCTCATGACTACTACAAAGAAAATATCTAAACTATCCCATCTACTGTTTGTCCCCTCTTTGTCCCCTCCACTCTTACATGTGCTGCGCTACAAATAAGCAATTATGTGCCCTCTCTATCACTCCTTCCTTGGAGAGCAGACACTGGAGGAGAGAAAGTAGAGAGTGTGCTTAAATGGATGATAGAGGATTGAGGGAGGGATAAAAGAATGGAGGGGTAAAGGAAGGGATGCACTTGTGGCTCCCTGTATATAGAGACAGAAACAGATGAAGAATGAGAAAGGTCATCTCCACACACAAAAGCACATGCATTGCACACACATTCACATGGGCTTTGTATCATACTAATGATGATCATTTTTCATTTGAGCTGAAGGGCAGAGGAGAACTGGACAGCGTCATACCATTTATCAAGATCTGTCCTCCACATGCGGCGATCCCAAAGTGCTTAAAACATGACCACCAACACTAGAACAGTAAACAGAAATGTGCATAATTCATTTTAATAGAGAAAATAACTTCACTTCATCACCTGAATAAAAATATTTCTGCTGTAATCCATTTCCCTTAGCCAGACTTGAGGCAGTTTTACAGTATGGCTGACGGTACACAGCAGGAATGAATTCTAATAGGGATTAAAAGCAAAGCTGCACCAGTCGCAGCCGCTCCCCGTCTGTCTGTCTGCCTGCCTGCGACTGTGTACTCTGGGTAGTGTGTGTTGGTGTGAGGGTCTGCGATCCCTGCGTGTCTGTGTGTAGATGTGAATGTGCTGTCAGTTTGAATTTAGTTTCTCTGTGTACGAGTGTGCATGCTCTTTTCTGCTGACTCCTGGAAGGATGTTTTTGTGTGTTGGCTGGCACAAATGTGCAAGTGACATAGATGCAGCACTCCTGGTACTTTGAGGCTGGACCAGAGCTGCATTTCCAGATAGTTTGACTGACAGGAGGTCAGGGAACAGGGGAATGATGTGTCATCCAGCCGGGAAGCCTCGTTACTAAACAAATGCTGGACATACGGCCGCTGCATGTCAGAACCATTTATCTCACCTGGATTTATATTTATCTAAGAAATGTTTTGCTTCACACACAAAGACACAAGCTACACGCCATTCATTAAATTGCCATTAGCTCTGTGCTTGGAGGTCTGTACCTATAATGAGGAGTTTACTAGAAAGGTATTCTGTTTCTTGTTGAAGACATTGGCATCAGCCTTTTCTGCCTTTAGAAAATGGGCTTTACACTCTTTTAATTTACAAAGAATATATCAGACCATTTGAACCTGGTTGTACACCATTCTTGCAATTTTCCAGTAGGGCTTAAAACCAAATAATTAGCTGGTTTGGTTTATTATATAATAAAATTTTCACTCATCGTATATGTGTTGAAATGTGAGTGTACATCAAAAAGCATGTAACTTGACAACATTACATAACTCCGATTTAGAAATAATGCAAGCTGACATTATTCTGGGTGCGAACCCAACTGAGGCAAATGTCAAAGGGCAATTGGTTGTGACACCGAACAAGACTATGACTGTAGGAGGAGGAACGTGACTTGAACAAAAGTTTGATATATCTTGAAGAGCGTCCCTTGTGGTTTCCAAGGCACGTCAAGCACATAATGACCATTAAATGTAGCAAAAGCAAGAATATGAAATAATGTATGTATACTGTATGTCCCACAGTGGTTGTCTGCTAGTGGAATTAAAAATGAGACTCCTCAAAAGTACCTAACATTCAGTGCTAAATACATCTCTTCAAATCAATGGCTCTGATGAGAGTAGACCGTTTAGCTTTAGTCTGTGAAAATTCCAGAGGAACAGCAAATTACAGCAGCAGTGAAACTGTCTGGCTGCAGTTTATTAATGAGTGGGAAAGCAGCACAGAGATACAGTATCCAACAAGGCCAGTGCTTAGATAATGCCACGCAGATTGGTCAGGATGAGCTTAGTATATTAATATGTTATGTAACTCCAAGTGCTGCGATTGTCTTCAGGCCCTGCGCAGGTGGGTGTTTGGAGTTTTGCTACCGCATAACTTGACTTGGTTTTCTCCATATGTTGTCGTCAGGGAAACTGTTAGAAGATGGGGTGTGTTTGTATTTTGTGTGTGTGGTGGATTTCTGTGCATGTTATGATGTTTTTGAAAACAGCTTCGTTAGGGGAATAGGTTAACTCCAGGCAGAGTGTCCTCTCTGGAGGCCACAACCTCCCCTTTTCTCGTCTCCTCCCGATCTGGGGTGGTGGCAGGCAGAGATAAGACACCTACAAAGTAAACAGTGCTGCAGACTACAGCTTCCCATCTGCCTGCCACACACACACACACAAACACACACACGCGCACGTATACACACACAGGCAGACAAACAGATAAACACACACACATACACACACACACACACATACAGTATATGCACCAGGTTTGAACCCACTGTATACGCAAATGTTGGCCTGAATGGATGAATGGTCTGTTGTGCTGGACCTTCGGCTGACATCTCTTGGCAGAACAGGGGCCTCATTTATAAACAATGTTTATGCACAGAACAGATGTAAAAATGTTTATGCCACTGCCATTGAAAATAAATCCCTCCCCTGATCGATTGGAAAGTTGCAGTGAAAAGAAAGAAAAGACAGAAGGATGCTGTGTTTAACTCTGAGGTGCAGTGAGTGGGTAAGGGGAGAGTGACTTAAAAGCCGTCACTTTCAAGAGTGTCTTTTAGTGAAACCCCGTTGCTATGTGTTTGGGCATGCTCACTGGTGTAACAGGGTCACTGGGCTGCTTGTCATCATAGAAACAGATAATCAGATTGTGATGTTCATTACAGCTTTAGTCCTACTATCTGCTGTCTTTCCTTCAATTTACAGCTCCGCTGCTCACCTGAGAAAATGTCTCTTGACTGTTGATAGGCTATTGTTCGCAACTTGTAACCAATCATTAAGCAAGTCTTCAGAGTGGTGATTACCTACATACAGAGAGAGACAGCTAGATCAGACCCAAAGTAGCGCATTTTAAAATGAATGAAACCCTAACAAAAGCAGTGATCGATCAGAACCGTTAATTTGTGATCCGTTGCATCACTAGTGAAATGGCATTGATCACTCTAAGGGGTGGATACATTTTGTCCCCACCAGGGATAAAAAATAATTCAGCAGAGGCAGGGATATATAACCATCATTTAATCATTTTAATCTGTCAATTAATCTGCAGCTTTCCTCCAATGGTCTTCTGCTCTGAAAATGTCAAATTTTTATCTCCTTTTTTGGGGAAGTCATCAAAAACCTTTAAGCCAATCGTCCCAAAACTTTGGCAGGATCATCTACTCGACTTCACTGATCTAAATTTGTCAAAGCAATTTTGATGTGTCAAATTATACATTTTTACTTTGTGTATTAAAGTTCAATTTTACATAAATGCTCATAAATCAAAATTGGCTTAAGCTATTGTAACCAAACTTGCAAAAGCATGTGTTTGGATGCTAATTACTGTACATCCTACAGAGGCGAAATCTAAAGTCGGTCACGCAATGAATTAACATCTATATCTCCACAAGTCTTCATCCGACTGCTTCAGAAACTGACACAGACATTCTTTCTGCTTGTGGCTTTATATTTGTTTGTGCTTGTCTCAGTCAGACTTTAACATTCTCCTACCTTTTCTTCTCCGGGACTGACAGCATGCCTACCCATCTGTCTATCTGTTTACTAGTGTTTCTGCATGACTGCCTGCCTCTGCCTGTACCCTATATCTGTAAATCCTGACTTGGAGCTGTGTATACTTCACCCTGAAGTGCTGTAATTTCTCTGACATCCCCTAGAAGGACACTCTTTCATTCTTTAGCTTTAGGATCACTGACAGTTTGAGACAGACCATTTTTAAATCTAAGCATATAAAGGGGAAAAAATGACACACAAGAAAATAACATCACGCTGTGTGTAGTTGCTGACACTGTAAATCTGAGTCAAGGGCACTTGTACTGTTAAAACCATTAACTTTCCATATGTGTTTTTAGGTTACTTCCTGGAGTTGCTGAACCGTTCGGCGATTAGTCTACAGGAGACTTTCACTCCAACTTGGGGGTCCCTATACTCCCAGAATTCCCAGGTCTTCTCCGACCTATACATGGATTTGAGGTACTACTACCGAGGCTCCAATGTCAATCTGGAAGAGGTGCTCAACGAATTCTGGGCTAGGCTGCTGGAGAAGCTCTTCTACCAGGCAAACAAGCAATATTCCATAGGTACCTCTAGCTTTTCTCCAAATAACAAGAGTTAATTCATGGGTTAGTGGTGTGAACACAGGTTTACTGCCAGAGAACATTCTTCACAGTAGTGATATACAATATATACATAATATAAAAGAAAAGGAGATTACTTCATATTCTATTAAAACTATTTTGTATTCATTGATGTATTCATATTTTCTACTTAAATAAAGATATTATTGAATGTGTTTGCTGATTGTAGGTGAGGACTACCTGGAGTGTGTGTCTAAGCAGATCGAGACACTACGTCCCTTCGGAGAAACACCCCGCGTAATGAAGATGATCGTCACACGCACATTTGTCGCAGCACGTTCCTTTGTTCAAGGGCTGGTGGTCAGTGGTGAGGTGGTGCGCAAGGTGTCCCAGGTAAAACCTCTCCTCCCAAACTCCACCGGTTTTCTATCCCATTTCATTTTGCATGGCATCCAATAACTGTGATCAGGGCTGGACTGGGGCAAAAAGTCGGCCCTGGCATTTTTGGTCCAGGCAGCCCACAGCAATCAGTTGGACACTCCTCACCAATACACCATCCTCGTAGTTCTCTTAAATAAACTGTAATATTCCCCCAAACCACTATAAAGCTGAGTTATAAGTGCCGTGGATAAGTGTACCAGTGCAAGTGGACTCCCTGGTGATAAAAGGTGGCACAACTCTTACTCAAGTACAAGTAATTTTCCCAACAGCGTGGGATTAGCCAACGCGATGCTGACAAAATAATGTCAGCCATTAGGACAGTTAGCTGATTTACCTTAATTGAAGTAGTCATCAACATTGTCATTATGGCATGGCACGTACATGGCGTCATTTTGTGTTAAAAAGTGGTGCGGACATTTAGGGGCTCCTCCTCTGCCTGGCAGTGGCTTTGGCTCTCCTTTACTCCTTCAAGTACCAGTGGCTGCACTACGTCGGGTACTGCAGCTGATATTGAAGCTACTGCAGCTCCAGTAGCAAACATATCGGTTATTTTGGCACATTTGGCGGCAGCATGTTTAAAGATTGGGGTTTTTTTGGCCCACAACACAAGACAAACAACTGGGCATAGGGGAGGGATTGGAGGCTTGCAAGAGATGTGATTGGGCCAGCCCAGTGTCAGTATAGTAAATGAACCAATGGGCCGCTGTCAGTGCTCTTTAGGCTGATACGTTGGCATTTAATAGTTATATAAATAATAATTTAAGTTACACTGGCCCATAGGTGCGTCGGCCCACCAGAATTTGCCCTGTATGCCAGATTACCAGTCCACCCCTGACTGCGATTGGTTTCTTTCCCTTAAAACTATAGCCCTGTTTTCCTACCTGTACTTTCCTTCCCGTACTGGTCAGTCTATTTTATTGTTTTTCATGAAAGCAACTAACTGCCTCACATACCATTTTACTGATGTCTAATCTGGGGTATAGCTAATATGCTTTTCTTCCAGTACATGTTCATTGGTATCCCTGTATTAAGGGGTCTGTATTTATCTCTCTTTACTGATCACCTAAGCACACATGTACACACAGGCCTGTTTTTACCAGTCTGTGCGCATGGTATAAAGCAGTGGCAGATCAATGTTGGTGGAAACGAGAGGCACTATAAAGCATGGCCTGCGGCTCAGACAATCAGCCCCTGCAACAACAGTTAATGTCAGCTCCACACTGAAAAATGTCTCCCTAGGCTGCAGGGAGGGTTAATATCTCCCAAGAGAAATGGTCCCCTCTGTGTAGAAGACAAGAGTAAGGTTAAGATCAGAGCAAGACCAAGAAATCATTTCAGCTCCTGAAAGGGAGGTGGCCAGTATTGATGGACCAGTGAAAAATATCTCTGGTCAGACACTGGGCAAGGAGAGTGTTGAGAGCAGTGGCCCCTTGAGAAATATATGCTTCCTTTGAGAAAACATATGCTGTTCCAGAGATGAATATTACAATTATTTCCTCAATGAAATATTACATGGCTAGGCTTTTGTAAGCATGAAAAGACAAAGAGCAAGAGAAAAAAAACAGTGTGACAAAATAGGTTGAGGTGCTACTATGTCACTACAAGGCCAAACATTTGGATGCATGTCATAGATGGAATAAGATGCTTTCACCTTTCACTCTGATGTATGTGTTCTGGCTAGCACTGTGAATGGCATAGACTGTACTGTTTGCTAGCTAGAGTTAGACAGCCTGGCCTAGCATATCTCTCTCTGCCTCTCTTTGTCTCAGACAATTGGTGCAACGTCTCACACCTACACAAAGGGACCTGAGGATGTCTCAATTAAGTACCTGCATGCAGCAAAGCCTAGCACATTCACAGCCACAGGGGATTAAAATGGAATACGGCTAGTCTAGCGTAGCAGGTATCTAGTGAATAACAAGACACATGGTGTGATGATGACAGCTAAAACTGCTTGACCTGGAGCTAAGGGAATCATATAAATAGTATAACAGAGCTAAAGACATGACAGTTGCTGCCTAGCTTAGACTCAAGCAAGCAAACAGGGGAGAAAGGGTCAGAATTAGAATGAGCAGCCTGCTATGTTGAAATTGTTATTCATGATTTGTGTCACATGGCTGTACCCCAAGCAGAGTAGCTTGTGACCCCTGCAGAGCTCTGGCAGCAAGATCCAAAACTGATAAGCACCTGTCATAGACAAACATTCATATATACAATGGAGTACACACAAGTGCTAAAAGTTGCAGAAACACACGCACACCTCATAATTCCATCATTCCTCTCCAGTCTGTGCGCATGGTGATGCACATTTGCCCCGTGTGGCTACTTCTTCATACACATTTCCTGACTGTTGCGATTTTGTTGGTGCTGAAGGACAGTGAGCGATGTGTTCATTAAAAAAGGCTGGCCGGGGAAAATGTGTAAATAATTAGCACAGCTTTTACAAAATTACAAAATGTCACCCAGCGCTAATGCTAGGGCACCAGAGCCGCTGCCACCCTGAATGAGGTCACAGATTGCCGTCTGCCCTATTTACACGCTCATCAAAAGTCTTAAGACGAAAGGCAAGAGAACACTGTATTGCAAGAATAGTCATTGTGGACACACTGTCTAGTCTATTGAACTGTGCAAGGACACAGAATGTCTCATGTTTCATGAGTCATCCAAGTCAAGGCCTGTTTTGTACAATTTGACTGAAGGAAGTACAGATTTCAACCAACTGTCTGTCAATTTCATATTCATAATTTGTGTGTCAGTCTATGTTGCTGTCTTCCCCAGCACAGAATAAGCACTTTGTTGTACTTGTGCAGATTGGAACAGCACTGATCTGTAATGGGAACAAATGAGACAGTGAGAAAAGGAAGAGGGACGATAATAAAAAGACTGTGACAAACTCCAGCATCCTCTCTTGTCCCTATCTTACTCATTCAATCCTTTATTATGCTTCCTTCACCAGTAAATTGTACTCCAACATTTCTGTTGATATTTCCCAGAGCAGCGCCCTGTGCTGTCCTCTGTCTCCTTTTAGTTTGAATATCTTGGTATACTAATTTGGATCTTTGCTTTCCCCTCTTTTACTCTGTAATTCTATCTTCGATTGATTGGGCCCTAACCTGTCAACCGATCCTATTTATAACTATGCATTGCCAATTAAAGGGCCCAGTGACTGAAGATGTTTACTATGCGCTGCACATGGAGGTATTACACTGCTTGATTGTAAAGCTGGAAAGAATAAAACAAAATTCTCTCTGCATTCTCCCTTTTATGTTTTAGATGGATTGGCCATGAAAAATAGGAGCTGTAGAGAAAGGTGATGAAAGAGCATAGTGAAAGGAGGATGGGAACACAGCAAAACAGAGCAGAGAGAGACTGATATGCTTTGAAAAAACTGAATAAAGCGAGAGATGTTTTTGTTAGACAGAAAGAGAGATCTGAACCATAAGATGCTGTCTTTCCTTATGGTACAGGATTAATTCCTTCCTTACTTTGCTCTGGGCTGCACCAGTTGCTGTGTCCTTAACTTTTTCCGACTGTTGTATTCCCTCGGGCAGGGGAGTGGAGGAAGTAGGCCACGCGCCACATACTGTAGCTCACTCTGGAGGCAAGGAGTCTGGATCGGCCCCGCTCTATAACACAAAGGGGGAGAGGTCGCTCATATATCCTTACTAATTACAGAGAAAAGACAAGCAGTGAGAGGGAGAGGGAGAAACAGAAGGGTCTCAAGCTCCGTTGCTGCAGGCAATATAGAAGGCACTGACAGATATGGGAAGTGTGTTGCGAAGGGGAAGCAAGGACAAGTAAAGGTATGGATGTAACACAGTCATGTCAAAAACAAACACGTGCAAATATCAAAAGGAAAACCTTCTCTTGATATCTCTTGATAGATCAGTATAGAGATGATTGAGATCAGGTCAGAGAGATAGAGAGAGTGTGTGTGTGTGTGTGTGTGTGTGTGTGTGTGTGTGTGTGTGTGTGTGTGTGTGTGCACTTACCAACCTATCTAACAGTGGACCTCGACGTCGTTACACACCCACTAAGAGGGGACTAAAAAGTGAACAGGGGACATTTTTTAGGTCCCCTGTTGGACATGCTTTAAATCATGCTAAAATCATGTCTAAAACCATCTGGTAAATTTTTTAAACTATTGTCAAGAGGGGACCTGCAGGTGTGTGAGTGTTTAAGTCCATACTCAGCAGTGCCTCTAGTGGATCAAGCAAAGATTTTAACGACTCATTCACACACGTCGTTCTTAACACTCCCCTATAGAGTGAATGGCTTGCAGCCCCAGGGAGTCTATCAGACTGTAGAGGGGCTATTATACAAGCTACTCAGTAAAGAAAGCTGTCTCTTGAAACACAATTTCTTAATTTTTTCTAACAAAATATACAGGCTGAGTTTTAGTCGATGTCTTGTGTTTTAAGATCAACATGTATTAAAATACAGGGCTACACTGAAGGCCTGGAGAGTAAAACGAATTTTAGATTCTAAAAACCGGAACAAAAATAGAAAAACAACCAGGGTAGAATTAGAAATAAAATGGTCAGTATAAAGATACTTTCTTTACGGTTTTAATTAATTATAAAAAATTAGTATTAATTAATAAAAAAATATTTGACATTTGACATCTAGAGCTTTAAACTTGTTCTGTCCCAAAATACTAACCTGGCCAGCTTTCACAAGCACTGGACATCAATACATTTTTTTTTCATTATATTTGTGTGCTTAGTCTACTTAAAGATATGCATTTGAATTACAGAAAAAGGGACCACACTTGTACTGTGTGGAACGACAGGAGTCCACTGTTCGCTTGTAGATGATGACACAAGTTCCCTCTTAGATAGCATGGAGCGATAATCACACTCCAACTTGTGTGAAAATAATAAATAAGCTAATTTAATCATACTTTTGAGACAAAATAAACTAACTAAATAGTCTCTTTATTTTCTATACAT